AGCCTAATTTAGAGTTTAGGAACAAACAGGGGTAGAACTTAACACAGTACAGCTTCTTTTAACTGATATATATGGCAGTCCCTTCCCAAAGGCATACCGTCTGCAAACATCCTCCCTTACAGGTGGCTGGGATGAGGATAGAAAAGAGTAGCTAACATATAACCCAAAAGCAAAAAGCTAACACATTTAGGGCACCCAAGGTGTTCACACATTTAGCATCAAATAGGTTTCCACAAACTAACCAGTTCAAAAACATTCATCCTCTTGAGAGCCAAACAGAATAATTCCTAGCCTAACTACTTACGACTTAACATATATATGTTATCCTATTTTTTCATTAAGAACATCCTGTTATTTCCTTAGTTGTACAATTCAACTTCACTATGATTGAGGTAATTCACAAAAGGCTTCCCATTGTAAAAATTCCTTTTTCTGATCTCATGTTGTTCTTGAACCTTTAAATAAAGACACTAAAACCGACAGGGCAGAGATGCCTGCCTGGTGATCAGAAAGAATCTCGGGCTCTCTCACTCTCTCTCTCGCTGACACCGTCCATCCTTCAGGGACCCCTGGACCTGTCGGAGCCAGCCTCCGACAGGGGTGGCTGGAATGCCTGGGGCTGGCCGGGTCTCTGTATTTGTTTTAAATGTTTATCCATTTTTATTTTGAGAGAGAGACAGAGAGAGAGTAAACAGGAGAGGGGCAGAGAGAATCTCAAGCAGGCTCCAAGCTGTCAACGCAGAGCCCAACATGGGGCTCGATCTCACAAACCATAAGATCATGGCCTGAGCCAAAATCAAGAGCTGACGTTCTACTGACTGAATCACCCAGGTGCCTCCTCTATATTCTTTTTTAATCAAATAATTTTGTATTTTATAGTCTCTCCTTTTCCAGGACTCCCCTCTCTCCATCAGGGTAGCTGGACTTCTTTACATAGTGGCTGGCTTCCAAAAGAGCAAAAAGAAAAGCTGCCAAACCCCCTAAGGCCCAGCCTGGAACTGGCAGGGTATCCTTTCTGTCACACTGTGTTGGTAAAAAGGAGTCAAAAGTCCAGCCCTGACTCAAGGGGAGGAGAAACAGTATCCACTGCTAGATAGGAGTGGTGAGCACATAACAGCTATAGGAGAAATTGCGGGCTTCCATTATGGCAGTAGATCCATCACACCAGACATGGTTAGCCCCTCATATGAAGAAATGTATTCCTTTTCTGGGGGTAAGCCAGTTTCAAGAATCCTGGACTAGCATGGCATTCAATGCTGACTATGGGTAGAAAGAAGATAAACAGAAGGGTAGCATTTCAAGAGAAGGTACCAACTATGGGCAGCATGAACACAGGAGAGTGAGCAGAGAACTCCAGTGGAGAAAACAGAGTTTTCTCAGGCTATTAGCTAAACAGTCTTCCTTGGTCAGTGCATGCCAGATGGCCCCCAATGGATGATTATCTAATTATGTCTGTATTTCTCTTTTTAACACAAAAGTTACAGTATCTTACCCATGTTAATTAGATATTTTATATGAGGGCTCCTGGATGGCTCAGTTGGTTAACTGTCCCACTACTGATTTCGGCTCTAGTCATGGTCTCAAGGTTTGCGAGTTCAGGGCCTGCATCAGGCTCCACGCTAACAGCACAGAGTGTGCTTGGGAGTCTTTCTGTCCCTCCGTTTCTCTCTGCCCCTCCCCTACTCATGCCCACACACTCTCTCTCTCTCAAAATAAACTTTTAAAAAAATATATTTTATGTGATAATTTATATGTGACTCCACTAGATAACAGGTTACCTGAAGGACTATGCCTCTTAGGTAATGTGTACATTCCTGATAGTCCCTAACACAGTATCATGTATTCAGTACATAATTGTTGAAGGATGGGTAAACTCGACATTTATTAAATGCCTACTTATTTTCTAACCACTGGGGCTTTAAAACTGAGTAAGACATAAGCAAAATGTAACGTCTGCCCTCGAGGGGTTGGAATGAATAGTATACAAGAATAAAATTTGTTGAATAATAAATATTACCAATTTTCAGATACTGACGAACTACTGAATTTATGAATTCTCCATGATTTACTGAGAGCTGTTGGTGTGACAGCCTCTGTCTGTTCTTGGTGCTGGAAATACAAAAATGAATGAGACATGGTCCAATCTTGAATCCATCCAGACAGGGGGACACACATTAAAAACCAAACCAAAACAAAACAAAACAACATGTTGCTATGGATGTGAAGAGAGCTAGGTCTCAGGTTCATGATGGGGCAAAAAAGGAAGTGGTTCCTCACGAACCTCACCTCCTTAGGTGTTACAGGCTTACATTACAGCAGGAAGAAGGAAACAGACATAAAGAAAAGTCTGACTTTAAAAAGGGATTAAAATGTAAGCCTCTTACAAAGTAAAGGAAAATGTATTTCCTTTTATATTGCCTTTTGATTTACTAGTACAGGAAAGTGTTCCCTCTGGGAGAAACATTCGTAAGATAAAAAGTACAGTAAGCTTTTAAATTTTTTTCCCTAAGGATTTAAGGAGAGGAAAAAAAAGAATAAATTGGTATTTAAAAATGTAAATAAGTAGCTTGATGTGAACGCATGCTAATCATACATATGTATATGATACAAACATATATAAACATCCTCAATATAAATGAGGATCAGAAGCTTCCAGGCTGATGCATTTCCAACTGGAAATGACCACTTTTTTTTTTCCCCCAAGATTTTATTTTTAAGTAATCTCTACACCCAACCTGGGGCTCAAACTCACAACCCCAAGATCAAGAGTTGCACGCTACAACTACAAAGCCAGCCAGACACTCGTGGAAATGACCGCTGTTAATGTTTATATTTAATTTTTAACATAGCATGTTCTATATGACTGTAAGAAAACAATCACTGCTATTTCTTTAGCATTAGCAACTATGCGGCAGAGAAGCCCAAAACTTCTAAGACTTTGATAAAAACAGGAAGGTAGAGAGACTCAACTCAAGCTCTAAAGGCTGGCAAACTTGTCTCATATTCCTTTTTAGCAAATGCAACAATTTCATGCTAGTCATTTCTCAAGAACAATAAATTTTAATGAAGATTTTATAGGAAGTCTTCAGCTCTTCTGGAAATTGGTCTCTAACACTATCTTTCCCTATAGACATGAGGCTACATTAAGAAGTCCAAAAAAATGTATTTTACCATATCAAAATGAAACACTTTTGCTTTGTGTGTTGTTGGGGGGATGGAAAGACAAGATACAGACGGGGAGAATATATCTGCAAAAACACATATCCAACAAATTAGTTGGATTAGTATCTAAAATACATAAAGAACTCTCAAAACTCAATAAGTAGAAAAATATCAATAATCCAACTAAAAATGGACAAAAGACGTGAAGAGACATTTCATCAAAGAAAAAATACAGATGGCAAATAGACACATGAAAAGTCATTCAGCATCATTAGCCTTTAGGGAAATGCAAATGAAAACCACAAGATACCACAACTCACATAACAGAATGACTAAAATATAGTGATAGCACTAAATGCTGGCAAGGACACAGAGAAAGGAGATAATTCATATGTTGGCAGGAATGTAAAATAGTACAGCCTCTGTGGAAAAGAGTCTAGCATTCTCCTATAAAACTAAACACGTATGGGTTCCTGACTGGCTCAATGGGAAAAGCCTATGATTCTGGTCTCGGGGTTGTGAGTTCAAGCCCCATGTCAAATATAGGGATTACTAAAAAAAAAATAATAATAATAAAAAATTAAAAATTAAAAAAATAAAAAAACTAAACATGCAGGGACACTTAGGTGATTCAGTTGGTTAATCTTCTAACTCTTGATGTCAGCTCAGGTCTTGATCTTAAGGAGAGTTCAAGCTTCACATTGGGCTCTACAGTGGGATTAAAATAGGGGCTCCGGGGTGGCTCAGTCCGTTAAGCATCTGACTTTGGTTCAGATCATGATCTCAGGGTCCGTGAATTCGAGCCCTGCATCGGGCTCTGTGCTGACAACTCAGAGCCTGGCGCCTGCTTCGGATTCTGTGTCTCCCTCTCTCTCTGCCCCTCCCCTACTTGCACTCTGTTTTTCTCTCTCTCTCCCTCAAAAATAATAAACATTAAAAAAATAAAATCAAATAAAAATAGAAGTAAACTAAACATGCAAATACCATATGACCCAGAAACTGCACCCTGAAGCATTTATCCCAGAGAAGAGAAAATGTATGCTCACACAAAAGCCAGTGTGCGAATGTTCTTACTAGCTTTCTTCGTAAAAGCCAAAAACTGGAACCAGCTCACAAGTGCTTCAGTGGGTGAACAGTTAGACTGTGGGGACACCCATCTTACAGATGATGGCCCAACAGTAAAGAGGAACAAGCTACTACTAGACAACAACTGGGTGAGTTTCAAGCCAATTATGCTGAGTGAAAAAGCCAATCCAATCCCATTTATGAGGCATCCCTGAATGACAAAATTACAGAAATGATGAAGAAACTGGTGTTTGCCGAGAACGGGGAACAAGGTGGGGAGGGGAGGGCGCCACAGGATGGGGTGGACATGGCTATAAAAGAGCGACAGGGGGATCATCTGCTGATGGAACTGTGCTGTATCTGGACTGTGCTGGTGGACAGGGCCCAGTCCTGCAAAATAACTACAGAGAACTAAATACGCAAATGAATGCAAGAGAAACTGGGGAAATCTGAACAAGATCATGGATTGTATCAATGTTAATATGATATTTGAACTACTATACTGGTTTTGCAAGATATTGCCTTCAGGGAAACTAAGGGTATGCGATCTCTCTCTCTCTACTATAATCTCAAAATTAAAATTCTAATTAAAAATCTATTTTCACCTTAGGTGCAGTGGTGATAACTTCCACAGGAAAAACTTTGGGTTTTGGAAGGGGAAACAGTACAGCAGATAGGAGTGGGCAGTAGAGGGATTTTTTTTCTCTGGAGAGATTGTCTACAGAACAGAGTTCTTCCAGGTTCTGGCCCCTTGTGACATCAGAGGAGGGGCCAGCTGTCGAAACTGAAGGGAAAGGAGAGACGGCAGGTGGTATCCATTATGCAGTGAGTTTTTAAGGTTTTTGTTGAATGAATGACTGACAATTAAGTCCTGATTTGGTTGGAAGAATGTATTACAGTTCACAGATTTGTTTCATCACATACTGAGTTTCTTACCAAAAATTTACATTGGAAGTTGAGTAGGGAATTCCACAAATTCTCGTGTGCTTGTTTTGTTCTCTTGTGGGTGTCTCATATTGGTTTGAGCCTTTGTTTTCCTTTTTTTATATATATATATATTTATTTATTTATTTAGAAAGAGAGAGAGAGAAAGAGAGAGCATGAGCAGGGGGAAGGGCAGAGAGAGAGAGGGAGAGAGAATCCCAAGCAGGCTCCACACTCAGCGCAGAGCTGGACACGGGGCTCGATCTCAAAAACTTTGAGGTCATGACCTGAGCTGAAATCAAGAGTCAGGCGCTAACTGAGTGAACCACCCAGGTTCCCCTGAGCCTTGGTTTTCTATCATGTGCACATGGATTAGAACATAATGGGCTTTGTTATTTCTATCTTTTTGATCTTCTCATTCACTAGGAAGGGTTTCACCATCGGATGACGGCACAGGCCGCTGGGCTGCCTGCTACAGCATTTTCCCACAAGTCCACAACAAGGTCAGAAAATACCTTCCTTGGCACGAGGCACAGAGCATTCCTTTCGGTTAAGTCATTTGATGGAGCTGTGATGCTGAGACTTCCTACTTCACTGGACTTCAGAGGAAGCGGTTCTCTGGAAATCTCTAGCCGACTCCATTCTACACATGGCCTGCCCAGGAGAATTTTTTCATCAAGCACATCCTGAATCTGAAGGATGAGCTAGCTACACCTCAGGAACACACTGTCCATGAATTCACTCTGCGTTTTTTCAGTTCACTCTGCAAGATAAGGATGGTGGGAGGTGAAACTGCCAGAGAAATCTGATGTGATGTCTAAAAAAACAGCCCGAGTCACAGCTCTATCAAAAGAGGAAGCTGCTTGCCGAAGCCTTCCTTGTGCACCCGGGTCCACACTCACTTCTCCCTTCTCTGAATTCTGACAGTATCTGGTGCTTCTCTCACTCACACAAACACCTAAGTATAAATGGTCCTGCGCTGTTACAGGGAGGCGGTGTGGTGTGCTGGAGACCGACTCTCTAGATTCAAATCTCAGTGCCACCACCTACCAGCTATAAAGCGTTGGTTCTCTCCTCCGTACACTCAGGACGGGAACAGAACCCACCTCACGTTCCTGCTGAGAATGAAAGGACGTAGTAAGGTAAAGCACTTCCAAGTAGGAGCTCAATAAACGTCTGCAGAAAACAGAACAAAACCTACAATCTGTCTTCATGTGTTATCTTTTTCTCCTTGCCAGTGAGACTTCCAGGATTTATGCTGTTATCCCGGAAAAGGTTGCATTCCAATTCCATTCCTCATAATCACAAATTTTGGAAAATAGAACTAGAAAGGCAGTAGAAGCCTCTGGCTAAGCGCTGGGCCCTGACTCTGCCCCTCCTCCCCCCTCCCCTGCCCTGCAGCCGCTGTGGCCACCACCTGCCTGTGCCAACCCACAGGACCTAAAAAGGTAAACTTCCTCCCTGTACTTCAATTCCCTTCATCCCCAAGGCGACTACCTCCCCTGCTTCTTTTTACTCGTAAACTGTGACCAGACAATTCTGCTGTAGAAATTGACCCCGATAATACAATATGGGAAAAGTTTATAGGCAACGATTGTCCATCACAAGTGTTTGATCATTCTGAAAAGTTTTTTTAAAAAATCTAACGGATTGTTTATGAAACAATTGTTCCAGAAAATTAAGGGGCTGATTATATAAATTATGAGACACAAATACTGTACATATATTGCAAATTTATACTTAGAATTTGTAATCATACGTGGAAATGTGTATGCAATGATGTCATACCAAAAAAAACAAGCCCTCAGACTGACAAAAAGTATTGCGATACTCCGTGCTGGCAATGATCTGGAGGAAGCGGGAACTCCCACACACTGGAGGTGGGAGCATAAACAGGTACAACTCCCTGGAAGCATTATCTCATCAAGTTGAAGCTATGTGTGCCCTATGGCCCAGCCACTCCGCTCTTCAGTACCCTAGAGGACACAAGTCAAGCAGATCAAGGATGTTCCTAGTGGTTGCAGTCCCCATCTGGATACAACTCTACTGTCATCAACTGCAGAATGGATAAATACACTGTGGGACAGTTCATTTCCCAAGTGACATCAGTAGCCTGTTGCTGAAAATCAAGCATTCTGCAGGAAAATGGTAGCTAGAGCCCGTTTCCCATTATCTTAATTCATTTTACAAGGTAGGATTTTTCCTTAATATGTAGACAAAGCTGATATGGCTGACAGAGCCTAACAAAATGTCTAACGTGGAGGATCACAAATGTTGACACTTCCTGCCCCACCCTACCTCACTCCTCCAAATGTTTAGGGCAAATGATCAAGAGAAACCCCAAATGTTCTACTACTTCAGAATAAGCAAAGTATCTTTATCCATTTTTTGTGTCCCTCCACAACATCTCTAGTATTCTGTACAGATTCAGCAAGTGGTAATAGCTATTATTTATTTAGCCTGCTATTGTCTGTACCAGGAACTTTAAATATGTCGACTCTTGAGTTACTGCCAAACCCCTTCCCCCAACCTGGTCTCTGTGATAGTAGGTGCTATAATTTTCCCATTTGACTGAGCAGCTATCAGACTCTCTGAACAGATGAAGGGATTTGACCAAGCTAACAGATGGCAAAAGTGGAATCCAAATTCCAGGTTTATCTGACTCCAAAACTCATTTGCTAGGTGTGTATCCTTGGATGACTTATTTAACCTTTACAAGCCTCATTCTCCTCCCCTGTAGAATGGGAATAACTGCACCCATTAAACAGTAACTGTCTTGGGGCACCTGGGTGGCTTAGTCAGTTAAGCATCTGACTTTGACTCAGGTCATGATCTCTTGGTTCGTGAGTTCGAGCCCCGCATCGGGCTCTGTGCTGATGGTGCAGAGCCTGCTTGGGATTCTCTCTCTCACCCTCTCTCTGTCGCCCCCAGCCCTGTTCTCTCTCAAAATAAATAATCTTTATTTATTTTTTAAAAATTTTTTTTAATGTTTTATTTATTTCTAGGAGAGAGAGAGAGACAGCGTGAGTAGGGAAGGGTCAGAGAGAGAGGGAGTCACAGACTCTGAAACAGGCTCCAGGCTCTGAGCTGGCAGTCAGCACAGAGCCCGACGCGGGGCTCGAACCCACGAACCACGAGATCATGACCTAAGCGAAAGTCGAACGCTTAACCGACTAAGCCACCCAGGCGCCCCTCAAAATAAATAATCTTTAAAAACAACAAACAGACAAAAACAATAACTCTCTCTCTCTCTTTTTTTTTTAATTTCTAGGAGAGAGAGACAGAGACAGCGTGAGCAGGGGAGGATCAGAGAGAGAGGGAGACATAGACTCCAAAACAGCCTCCAGGCTCTGAGCTGGCAGTCAGCACAGAGCCCGATGCGAGGCTCGAACCCACAAACCGCGAGATCATGACCTAAGCAAAAGTCGGACGCTTAACCGACTAAGCCACCCAGGCGCCCCAACTCTCTCTCTCTTAATCAAAGGCCAAAGCTGGCACTACTGAGAACAGGAACAGGAAAGAACTTGAATGCATCTGGAAACCCCACGGTTCCCCATCCCTCACATAACACTTCACTGATACGACTTTCACCTACCCCAGCCCGCTCCACCTGTCTGCTTCACCCAAACAGTTTAATGAACATCCAGCATTCCTAATAACCCCATGAAGATGATCTCAACATTCTAAGCCTTTTGTTTCCTGTTCTTTTCCTGAAGAAAAAAAAGAGGGCTTTTGAAATTCAAAATTATATCATTTGGACTTTATCCCCCTTCTGAAGGCTCCTTGTCTTTTTAAAATCATTTCCGAGCATTTCCAGATTTTCAGTTTTGCATTTCAAGTTTCACAAAATGAGAAATCAATTCTTATATCGCTTTGGAAGTGAAGGTTATATTTCTTGCAAGTATTTAGAAGTACTCACTAGCCTAGCTGACAGTTTCAAAAGGTATTATTCTACTATTTCTCACTGCTTCACATCCCAGATCAGCTGTGGCTGATATACTCCCAGTTAGTATTTGACATTCCATTGATTTTTCCTTCCATTAGAAGGAATGTCTTTCATGAAAGGAGAAAACTGCCATATCAGGGACAAGTATCGAATATAATCTCATGGTGTACATAGCGCACCCAGAAGGCAGGCACCCCCACTCACATGCATAAGCATGTACTTAACACACATATATGCAGGAATTGTCAGAAGTTACTGGGAATGTGGCACCTGGGTGGCTCAGTTGGTTTTGATTAAGCATCAGACTCTTGATTTCAGCTTAGGTCATGATCTCACAGTTTGTGAGTTCAAACCCCACAACGGGTTCTGCGCTGGCATCATGGAGCCTGCTTGGGATTCTCTGTCTCTCCTCTCTCTTCCCTTTCCCCTTCTTTCTCTCTCTCTCTTTCAAAATAAATAAATAAACATTTTAAAAAATTTAAGAAGTTACCAGGAATGCAGTAGGTTTTTCAAAATATTAGCAGGGTTTGGAGTTAAAAACCATATTCCTTTCAACGCTAAAAAGGACTCTTGGAGGTACTAAGCTGGAAAACAAACAAATAAAAGATCCGGGAAGAAACCAAATAGCTTATAAAGCTCAATTTTGAATTTCTGCTCCACCCAAAGAGGCAGAAAATCCATAAATTTCGCCGTAGCTCCTCCCCCCCACTCCTAATTGCAAAACTATTCTCTAGACAGCACTATTCTGAGATAAGGCTTTTACCATTCTTGATTACTTCCATCTGATCCTTTTGCAAATGAAATTGCATTTTCTTCAATCTAAAATATCAGAATGTTTTAGATATCATCAATTAGAACACAAATTATCAACTATGTATTACTATGTATCAAATATGTATTACTCCTAAAACCTCAGCCTAGAAACATCTATTTAAATGACTGCACTTCAGGGTCTCCTGGCTGGCTCAGTCAGTAGAGCATGGGACCCTTGACCTCAGGGCTCTGAGTCTGAGCACTATTGTGCATGTAGAGATTACTTAAAAATAAAAATCTTGCAGTCTGTGTGGTTCAGTCAGCCTCTGACTTCTGATTTAGGCTGAGGTCATGATCTCACAGTACTGAGATTGAGCCCAGAGTCTGGCTCTGCATTGAGCATGGAGCCTGCTTGGGATTCTCTCCCACTCTGTCCTCCTCCCCCACTGGCGTGTGTGATAGCTAGCACTTTCTCCCTGTCTCAAAATCAATCTTAAGGGGTGCCTGGCTGGCTCAGTCAGAGGAACATATGACTCTTGATTTCCGGGTTGTAAGTTTGAGCCCCAAGTTGTATGTAGAGTTATATACATGTAGAGTTATATAATAAATGATTATCTAAAATTGCACTATCCAATACAGTAGACAGTAGCCACATGTGACCAATGAGCACTTGAAATGTGCCTACTAGGACTGAGGAACTGAATTTTTTCCTTTTAAGTAGGCTTCACACCCAACATGGGGCTTGAACTCACAACCCTGATATCAAGAGTCACATGCTCTACCAACTGAGCCAACCAGGCACCCCTGACAATCTAATTTATATTAAGTAAGCTGTGTGTGTGTCTACATTCCCCTTCCTCCCTATTAGATTGTGACCTTTTTAAAATAGAGGACTACCGGGGCGCCTGGGTGGCTTAGTCGGTTAAGCGTCCGACTTTCGCTTAGGTCATGATCTCGCGGTTCGTGGGTTCGAGCCCCGCATCGGGCTCTGTGCTAACTGCCAGCTCAGAGCCTGGAGCCTGTTTCAGAGTCTGTGACTCCCTCTCTCTCTGACCCTCCCCTGCTCACGCTGTCTCTCTCTCTCTCCTAGAAATAAATAAAACATTAAAAAAAAATTTTTAAAAAAAAGCTTTAAAAAAAAATAAAAAAAAATAGACTACCTTGCTAATTTTATTTATTTATTTAATTTTTTAACAATTTATTTGTTTATTTTGAGAGAGAGCAAGCACAAGTGAGGCAGGAGCAAGGAGAGACACAGAGAGAGAGAGAGAGAGAGAGAAAGAGACAATCCCAAGCAGCCTCAACGCTATCAGTGCAAAGCCCAACTCCAGGCTTGAACTCATGAACTGTGAGATCGTGACCTGGGCTGAGATCAACAGTGAGATGCTTAACTGACGGAGCCACCCCAGTGCCCACATCTTGCATATTTTAAAAATCCAGCAAAGCCCAGCACAGTCCTTGCAATGGAAATCCTTCCATAAATATCTGAATTTTGAATACAGCA